CAAAAAAAAAAAAAAAAAAAAAAAAAAAAAGAATCCAGAAGGTGCTGGAAAACAAGCAGTCAGCATCACCTGAGTTCCTAAAATCCAGAAACTGATCTGGTCGATGTTGAACGTGCAAGTCCTGTCCTGCAACATTTGAGTCAGTGCCTCTGAATCGTGGGCGGTGGTTTCGCCACCCATGCTCGAACTTGAGGGTTTATCTTTGAAGTGAGATTTTCAAGTGATCCGTGTATTGGAGACTTTCTTTAGACTTTGGACTATGATGGTGGCATAAGAAGGGGTCTGAGTAGTCTCTCAACTATTATTAGTGATCCTATTTATGTGTGTGTGAACTGTTTGTTTGTTTGTTTATTGTCAGGGTCTCACTCTATCACCCAGGCTGGAAGACGGTGGCATAATCATGGCTCACCGAAGCCTTGACCTCCTAGGCTCAGGCAATCAATCCTTCTGCCTCAGTCTCCTGAGTAGCTGGGACTACAGGTATGTGCCACCAGGCCCAGAAAATTTTTAAAATTTTTTTTGTAGAAGCAAGGCCTTGCTATGTTGCCTAGGCTGGTCTTGAACTTCTAGACTCAAGTGATCCTTCCACCTTGGCCTTCCAAAGTGCTGAGATTATAGGCATGAGCCACTGCTCCCGGCCAGAATATTTCTGGCCAGAAGGAAGGAGGGAGGAAGGAAAGGAAAAAGAAAGGAAGAAATAGAGTAGGGACAGATGAAGTAAGTGTGACAAAACTAGCCAGCCTCAGTGGCTCAGCCTGTAATCCCGCGCCTTGGGAGACTGAGGTGAGTGGATTGCCTGTGCCCACGGGTTCAAGACTCGCCCGGGCAACTTGGCAAGACCTCATCTCTACAATAAATCAAAAACTCAGCCTGGCGTGGTGGCACGCGCTTGTAGTTCTGGCTACTTGGAAGGCTGAAGCAGAAGGATCGCCGGAACCCAGCAGGTCAAGTAAGTACATTTACATATCGCTGCCTAAGAACTGAGTTGCATTTGTCTGGCTGGTTGGTATAATGTTGCAGACATTTAGTTAAGTGTTCTGCTCTTTTCAAACCCAGCAGTTTTCCTTTTGCGTTTCACTAGCATAGATCTTTGAAAGAAAAAAAACTAATAAGAGTCAATGCACACATAGTGCTGTGAACCAGCATTGTTCAAAAGACCCTTGGAGCTAGGTATGATATTGTCCGCATTGTACAGATGAGGAAACAAAGGACCAGAGATACCATGTAGCTTGTCCAAGCTTGCACACATAGCTGGATTCACACCCAAAGCTTGGTTCCAGCACCCAAGCCCTGACCCACTCCCCTATAAGGGGAATCACGGTCAAGCCTTTCTGGCAAACTGTATCTTTACTGCACCTTTTTTCTATTGGGAGACATTCACCCCTACATTCCAGC